ACTTTTTTTACCCCAAAACATCCAACGGGCATCGTTGGGGGGGGGGGCACCTCCCCATAAGGGACCAGGGCTACTGGTTGCCCCCCCGGGGCTACTGGTTGCCCCCCCTGGAGCTGTGAGGCTTGTGGCTGAGCCTGGAAACGCTCACTTGATTTTTTAGAAACACTAATTTGATTTTTTAGAGCCCTGCTGTGGGGCAGATTGTCACCCTGGGGGGGCCACCAATGTCCCTAATGTGGGACATTGGGGTGGCCGGGGAGAGCAGCTGGGACCTGGGGGGGACCAGGGCTACTGGTTGCCCCCCCCGGGGCTACTGGTTGCCCCCCCAGGGCTACGAGGCTCGTGGCTGAGGCTGGAAACACTCATTTGATGTTTTAGGGCCCTGCTGTGGGGCAGGTTGTCACCCTGGGGGGGCCACCGATGTCCCCAATGAACAAAATGGGGCTGGGTGGCCAGGGAGAGAAGCTGGGACCTGGGGGGGGGACCAGGGCTACTGGTTGCCCCCCCAGGGCTACTGGTTGCCCCCCCTGGACACTCATTTCATTTGTTAGGGTCCTGCTGTGGGGCAGATTGTCACCCTGGGGGGGCCACCAATGTCCCAAATGTGGGACATTGGGGTGGCCAGGGAGAGCAGCTGGGACCTGGGGGGACACCAGGGCTACTGGTTGCCCCCCCAGGGCTATTGATTGCCCCCCCTGGAGCTGCGAGGCTCGTGGCTGAGGCTGGAAACGCTCATTTGATGTTTTAGGGTCCTGCTATGGGGCAGATTGTCACCCTGGGGGGGTCACCAATGTCCCAAATGTGGGACATTGGGGTGGCTGAGGAGAGCACCCAGGACCTGGGGGGGGACCAGGGCTACTGGTTGCCCCCCCGTGGCTACTGGTTGCCCCCCCAGGGCTACTGGTTGCCCCCCCTGGACACTCATTTCATTTTTTAGGTCCTGCTATGGGGCAGATTGTCACCCTGGGGGGGCCACCAATGTCCCAAATGTCCTGAACATGATGGAGCTGGGTGGCTGAGGAGAGCAGCCAGGATCTGAGGGGGGACCAGGGCTACTGGTTGCCCCCCCGGGGCTACTGGTTGCCCCCCCAGGAGGTGCCAACCCCCCCTGGCCATACTCACACTTGATTAACTTCACCACCTCCAGGTGAGAGCTGTTGGTCACCATCGTGCCGTTCACCTGGGAGAGGCAAAAATTAGGGGGGTGGGGGG